TTCAGTGTGTAAGTAAGAGCATGCACACAACTCTAAATAACTATTTTGGGGGTCATTAAAACCTCTTTGCAGCCCTCCCTGTCCCACTGCTGTGACCCCCCTTCCTGACACAGATTAATAGTGCTGCCTCAGGCTAAAGACACCCAGTGTCGTTACTGCAACACCAAAAGTGCAAAGTCATTAAACAGCAGAATGAGCTGGTAAACCTTCCTGGTGTGTTTTGTTGTGAGGAGAACTAAATCTGTCTCGAAAGCTCACAAAAACAGAAAGTAATACAAGAAGGATAGAGTACAACTGAATTGTACTCACTTAAAACTATCTGCATGTGTATTTTTATAGTTCCATTTCAACTGTGAAACTTAATACTGGTTATGATATTCTTCACATTAAGAGATCTCTGTCATTCACCGACTACGCCAAAATAAGGAGCACCATCACCTCACAGCCAGAGGGTTCTGGGTTCAAGTCCCCGGGAGAACCAGGCGCTTTCTGTTTAGAGGGTTCTGGGTTGGAGTCTTGGGGGAACCAGGACCAGAGGGTTCTGGGTTAGAGTCCCGGGGGAACCAGGACCAGAGGGTTCTGGGTTGGAGTCCCCGGGAGAACCAGGACCTTTCTGGGTGGTTCTGCATGTTCTCCTGTGTCTGTGGGTTCTCTCCGGGTTCTCCGGCTTCCTCCCACCGTCCAAAAACCTGCATGTTAGGTTGTTGGACTCCAAACGGCCCTTAGTGTGAGTGTGTGTGGTTGTTGGTCCTTGTGTGTCTCTGTGTGTCCCTGTGATGGACTGGGGACTGTCCAGGGTGACCCCGCCTCTCCCCATTGACCACTGGGATAAGCTCCAGTTCTCCCGCGACCACATTAGGGAATAAGCTGTCCCGATAATGGATGGATGGATAAAACTCTTTGTGTATATGTTTTTATAGTTACATTTCAACTGTGAAACGTAATACTGGTTATTATATTATTCATATTTAGAGATCTTGGTCATATACCGACTACGCCAAAACAGATTCCTTGTATGTCCAATAAAGGTACTTGGCAATTAAATGTTTTCTGATTCTGATGGCGGATATTCTTGGATGTTCAGCAAGACACTGCTTTGTCTTTGTGTAAATAAAAGATAGACATAATAATAAACATAACAATAATAATAATAATAATGATAATAATAACGATAGGCTCCAGTGCCCCCGGGATCCCATTAGGGAATAAACGGTTATGATAATGGATGGATTGATAATAATGATAATAATAACAATAAAAACGTATTTACTTCTGATAAACATTTGTGTGACTCATGATGAGAAGAAGGTAGAGCAGCTTGATGATTCAGACGGTGTGTTAACTCCCATCCAGCTCTGTGACGGGTTCATTATCTTCAGCTGGTATGCAACACCAGAGTCATTCCCACTAATGATGTCCCCGGCCTTCTCCACATCCTGACAAGTGAGTGTGGCTGACACGAGGAGAGGAGACTGTCACAGAGAAAGATATTTAGAAAAATCGAAGAGGAGAGCTCAGTCACGGCTGACAGAGAACAGAGAAACCCGGCCATGGAACGCCTCCAGTTTAGGGTCCCCACACCTGACCTGTCCAGGGTCATATTTCATTCCAGAGAAATTTTACCATCACACATTTGACCTATTTCATGTCAATGATCTTAAACCAATAGTTGAGATTCATGTATCTTTAGCTTGTCTTTGGTATGACATCATCTAAGCTGTGTTTTGACAAAAAGAGAAGAATAAATATTCAAATACAAAATGTAACTACACTACAAACACTACAAGTACATTATGTACATTCACATGAGTATATACTCTAATTAAACCAAAAGTAGAGTAAGTTAGAACATTCAGAAAAGTGAATTCTGATGGTAGCTACAGAGCAATACCACCATCTACTGGCTGTAGAGATTGTGGAAGTTAGCAGTGTCTTCCCCAAGCAGTTCGGTTTTCTGTTGAGTTCAACAGTATGTGCGCTGAATCCAACACTTGTGACAGGAAGAGATCCGGGTTTGGCTTTGGGAATTCCTCGTAACTTTACAAATAACATGTTGCTATAACGTTCCTCTATCAAAAGATGCTTGAGTTCTTTCTCCACAGTGTAATGCGAATCCATGATTTGGGCCTCTGGAATCCCGTTAGTAAACTGATGTGAATGGGTTCATTTGAGTTTATCTTTGTGAAATGACATATTTTCTTGTGAATGATCCTCAGCTCTGTTTGACTCTCCTCACATTCTTTTTGTTAAAGCACAGAGGTTAAATAAGCATTCTGTCATTGAAAAATGCCCCTGAGAGGCAGCGTCAAAGTGGGGTTGATGATGTGGTTCTATCTACAGGACACAAAAAGCTTGATTAGTAAAGGACATAGTTTCAAATGCATCAGATCGAGTTGTTGTTTGGATGGGAAGTAAGCAGCCATTTTGTGTGATTTATAAGGAAGACATTTTTGTATAATGCTGTTTATTGACACCAAAGAGATATTTTGTGTTTACTCAGTCCAAATTCTCTCTGCTTAGTTGCCGTTTTAACTGGTGTCCAATGAGGGTTGGATTAAATGTTGGAGGTTTATTCTCCCTCCTGTGTTTCACAACGTGTCTCTCACTATTTTTTGGTTTGTATTTATTTGGTTAATGACGTTTTGTTGGTGTCCTTGTGGTGTGCAGTGTAGTGCTCTGCCAGTTTCTTCTAAATCTATCTATCTATCTATCTATCTATCTATCTATCTATCTATCTATC